TAGCCAAATACTTGATAAGACCCTTTTGAAATACCTCAGCGGTAATTGTACTGTGTAACATGCATAATAAAACTGGTGCTACAAAAATAAACACCACAAAATATGTATTAATACATTTAATGTAGTCATATATTTATAATACACATAAGTTATAATATACAATGTAAATACCCGTTAAAATATTTTATATAAAATTAATATATAATTTTATATAACTGTATATAAATGAACATATTTTTTATATGAATTTATATAATTATATATAAAACATTTTTTCCTTGGGTATGTATATTGTTCACAAGAAAAAATTTATTTGCTTTTCAGTCAAAAATTATAATAATAAAATCGATGTCAATTCCATTATCATTTCTAACTGGATATTAGTCTTCATTTTATCTGTTTTTTTATACTATGTATATTAAGGAATCTATGGAATCTAGGGAATAATATTTTAATCATATTTACATAGTCCTGTACTATAAGTTCTATATACCTTTTACATAAATTTTTAAATTTCATTAGAAAACAACAATCCATCCTCAAGAGTATTATTAAGTTTCAATGTGATAGACTTCATTGAGCCAATAAATCTTGAAAAAAACAATATTGATTAATCTCCATTATTAAAATCTATCTGAAAATTTCCAATTGCACCGAACTGCAAAAAAAGTTCTATAATGTGACCCAGTTAAAAATTCGAATCAAAGCTAATAACTGATTGATTTGCTGCTTCTAAAGATTTTTCTATTTTACTTTTGTAACACCTAAATTATATTATCTTTTCAAACTTTCCCAAGACAAAAGTAAAGAGAAATATATAGTTTGAATATTTTAAAAATGTTGGAAATTACTCAATATAAAAACAAAATCAATACAACAATAATATAAATATAAAATATTGAAGTTTATTATTTTATTAAATATTGAGTGAATATGTGTGATGCAGAGAATAAAATATTTTCAAATTCTAATAAAACTATTATTTCTTAATTACAATTCTTGAGTATATAGTGTTCAAAAAATTAAAAATTATTAAATTATAATTATAAAAAATTAAAAATAGCAGATCTTTAATATGACAAATATAAAAAACAATGTATCTTTATATTCTAATAAAAATTTGTATTAAAATATTTTACAATCGTTGATTGTACAAGAAACGTATAATCTTTTTATGACTTTAAATTAAACATGTTTATGTCTATTTTTCTTTCAGTTTCATCTTGATATTTTTTATAAAATTTCATATTTAATTGTATTTAATATTGATATAATTATTTTAAGCTTAGATTATAATGTATCTTAAAACTTTTTTTTTTAAAAAGGTAACTATGCATGTATAATATATTAAATAACCTTGAATAAATTATCAAGGATATACGATTGAATGAACACAGCAAGTCCCTCTTTTAACCACTGGTAGGATCACCAAGATGGAGTAATCAAATTGCCAAACCATTGATGTATAATTTCATGTTACTATCATCGCTGTTCCCGTTGCCTTATAATTTGGTTGTTTGGTATCATCATAGAGAATTGCTGATTCTTGACTGAAAGACAGAACGTAACATAATAAATTATATAAAATATATATCTATATATATCGATAATATATATCGATATATATAAAATATATATCGATAAATATGCACTCTAATGTGTGTAATATCGTGTGACTCTTTGATAATATCATATTCTAACAGCACAGACTTCCACGCGACGTTCGTAGGACGTCCATCCCCAGAATGTATCCCGTATAAAGTGTATTATTAGTGATATCATAATTTATGTAATTTATATTATTTATGAGTCTATTATGATGTGAATGTAACATTTTTTGCTGTGAAAGTGTGCATTTTTTAAGTATTTGTGAAAATGCATATTTTAAATTACTAAAGTTTGAATGCTAAGAGAAACAATGACTTTTAATAGTTTAATTAATTTCTTTTTAATTATTTATACTACCTATAGATGATAAGTCCCCAATTTTCCATGCCATGAACCGGAAAATTCGGTATTATGACGTGATCCATTTTCGGTACTTTTTCGGAACTATTGGTATATTCAATTAAAAGCGGCGTGATTCTTTGAGCAATAGTATGCGCTAATTTTATTTGCGATGCCAAAGAGTTATACCAAAGAGTTATACCAAATATTAATGGTTTCGTTCGCGTTAGAAACACGGATGAAATCAGATGTGGAGATTATAACAATCGCCACAAGATAAGTGGACATTATAGGAGTAGTGTTGAAGTGTGTCAGCATCAAGCCATCTCTTTCCTCCAATTGCTCTCGTATTGGCATATTTGACAATACCTTATATTTCTGATGATGCATTACAGATATATTAAAGGTGGCTTTTAACGCTGCCTCGTCCCAACATGGAAACATTCGTCTGGCTCCATTCGGCTCGAAATGCGTTGCAGCCATCCACCTACAATTTAATAAAATATCTTAAATATCTTAAATTTCGGTAAATTTACTACTTATGTCAGATAACATAAGAATTTAGAAAATACTAGTATTTATTATTATATATTATATATTATATATTATATATTATATATATTACATATTATAGACCCAGAGGCGAACCGCAGAACAAATAGAATTTTAAGTATAATTAATATTAAATAATTATATGTTTAAACAATGATTTATCGAGCCTTACATATTATGGCAACGATGATAAAGCAAAAGAATAGTAAATAATATTTTAAATTACATTTATAATTACATTATAAAAATATTTTTAATATTTTAATATTTACTTACATTTTGTTTCCTTTTTTATTTGTATATGGAAATTTTATGAAACCAATTTGTACGAAACCAACTTCAGATATAATACCAGCAAATTTTAAGTTAAGAATGTAAAAACCGGGTGATAATATATTTTCGAAATTAAGTATTAAAATATTCGTTACATTGTCATAAGTATGCTCTATCGGTTTATAAACTGTACCCTTGTCATTAACCAACGTTGTCGCTCTTTCATTTATTTCTAATTCTCTCGAGTGTAAGCTTATATTTTGCGATGCATGATAAATTATGATTTTGATATTGGATTCGCCGTGAAAAGTAGAATTGTCTTCCTCGAGATACGGTGTCAGTTTGATATAATGAAGTTATAATGAATTGGTATCGTGTTGATGGATAAACGACGTATAATTTCAAAATTACCATTGATGTAAAAACTTATAGCTAATATTAAGCCAATATTTAATAAACTTAACTTTAAGAATCCCATGTCAATTCTTGATTGTTTCATATATCTACGATTTTTTGATTTATAAATTAAAATTTTTAAAAAGAAACAAATGAATAATGTATTCCAAATTGTAACTAATTTTTATATAAAGATAAAAAAATGGGAAAAAATAATTTTAATTACTTTTATTAAGATAATGATACATAAAATCTAGTTTGGAAAAATTATGAATTTCTCAATTCTTTTTTCTATTATATATTTGATATTGAGTATATTTTAATGCACTCGAAATTAATTAATCTTATGTTATTATAATAATAAAACGGGCATAGAGTTAAGCGCAGTAGATACGTTATTGTCTACGTTTTTTTTAAAATAATCTATTTAAATATTTTACTTTTAGTGATATTTACCTTGTATGATGCGTTATCCTAATAAAATTACATTGAATTGTACTTTCTTATATAACTACAATTAAGTTGGTCAGAGCGGTTATTAGAATCATTACAAATATATTGGTGCAATAGCGAGTTGTCTCGAGAGATTACTCTAAATTGATTATTGAGCATGTTCGTCAGATACCATCGAAGAGTGTTGTGTAAGCAACATATTTTTGTTTTGCTTTTCCTATTTTAATTGTATATAGTAGTGTTTTATAATAGAAATAAATGCTTGTTGTACGGAATCTCCTTTACCGAGTGTACTTACTTAATTGTTATGAGTTTATTATTTGTTTAAACAGATTTTCTCTTTTTCAAAATCTCCAAATATATACGACTGCACCCTCAATCAGACATATTAACAATTATAAAATTTAATTACTTCTTTCTGTAAATCTAATTATTTCTTCTTGTGTTATATTATCTAATTTATAACAGTTTACATTTATATATCTTATATATATAATATTTATCTTATATATATAATATTTTATAATTATCAAGATATATATCTTGTATTCTATATGAAAAAAATTCGTATAAATTTAATATAAATATTTCATGTTATCTTTGAAATATACAGCACAACTCTGGTTTAAATTTTAAGAGGATGCTATATTAAGTTTTTAACTTTTTTAAGTATAAAATCCACTGCACTATCTTCTAATTTTGCTATCTATTTTAATCTTATAAAATGATTTTTTATTTTTTATTCTATTTAGTCAATTCGGAGATTTTTATTTGACTGTAATGTCGGTAATTTGGTCGATAAATAGAATTTAAATCTTCATTAAAAAGAGTTTGTATTTCCGCTAAGAGGATTTAAACCCTTACTATAATAGTAAAAATGCATTCTTTTTTGTTAAATTCCTAGTGATTGGTAAAATAATATTTCAATATTGTATTATTTCTAATGTATTATAGGGAATATAAATATAATAAAAAAATAATAAAAGAAACTATTTTAGAGAAACATAAGATTCAAAATATTCAATAAATTTTATTTTGTATATTTTTTTACATTATACTAATATGCATATG